AGTTTCCCCTGTCCAACAACATCATGTTGCAAGCAACAGTGGTAGTGGTGTGGTTGTCATCGGCAGTGCCAGTGTTCAGTATCATTGCACAGATGCCATTTCTCAGGCTACTCAATTTAACACTTATCTATATGGAAAATCACAAACAAATGACACGAGGGTAACAAACCAACAGAACTCATGTGTGCACCCATACTCTGCCAGCACATCACAAAGGAACAGTGAAGTTGGGCAGTCCTATAACATGCACCATAATCCCATACCTCAGAAGGTTGATGCATCAACCATGACAGAAAAGGAAACCCAGACCAATGATGGGCTCTTTGGTAGCAGTGTGCAGCAACAGGATTTTAAAACTTCATATCCCATTACAACGATGATCCCTTCCCCTGCCACTTGGCAAAGTTTGGCTGGTCCACCGGGATCAACTGTTGCTGAATACTTGTCACGTTTGCCTGCTTCAACTCTTCCTCTAACACTTCACCATTTGCTGAAGTTCTCAACAGCAGCTACTCCTGAAGGACATGCTGTTGCAACACCTACCTCAGGTTCAGGGATCAAAAAAGACGAAGATATTACATTGTTGACAAAGAAAAAGAAAAAGAGGAAATACAAAAAGAAGACATATATCCCACGTCCACCACGCCCTAGGCCTGGTGAGATCCGTCTCACAACAGCACTGGATGGCTCTACACTGTACTGTTGCCCTGAATGTCATATGGCATACCCAGAGAGGGAGCTGCTGGAACAGCATCTTGTAGTTCATCGTCTTGAACGTCGTTTTGTATGCGACATCTGTGGAGCAGGCCTGAAACGCAAGGAACACCTTGATAGGCACAAACAGGGTCATAACCCAGAGCGCCCATATGCCTGTTCTATCTGCCTCAAGGCATTCAAACGCAGTGAGCATCTGTCACGACATTTTGTCATCCATTCAGGTGACAAAACACAGGTTTGCACAGAGTGTGGGAAGGGTTTCTATCGTAAAGATCACCTCCGAAAACATGCCCAAAGCCACATTGCAAAACGTCTACGTTCAGAGCTTATGGGTCAGAAACCGCCACAAAGTGGAGGAGGTAGTAATCAACAAGGCATAGGGCCACTGGGATCAATGCCTTCTCCAACTGGCATCACAGCTGTTGCTCTCATGCCTGGAAGTGCTACCCTTCCCATCCTATCATCCTGAATAAAGAAGTGATGTTTCTCCATTTTCATCACTGTTCTGCTTGAGAATGTATTTCCAAGCTTAGCAGTCCCATAAAAGTGACTATGAATATGTAAAGAAACATTATGGAGTTAGGTATTTCATTTGTAATTTATGTTTTAAATTACCTTTAATAGTCATATTTTAATTTGTAAAAATTTAGATTAACAGTGAATATGTCAAACTTTTCAGAAATGCAACTGGTGATTTGCTATGCTTCCAGTACTGCATGAAGCATTATCTCTCTTTGTGTATGTTGTGTGTGTGTTTGGGGTGGGGGGTGGAGCAGACTAGTCTCATCCAGACTTTTACTTGCCAAAGGAATGAAGTCAAAAAGTTTTTACATAGAATCAAACACCACAATTTTTTTATCACTAATAATTTCTGTATTAAATACAGAACCATAAATTGATAAAATCAAAACTGCTGTGAAGTTTCTCTTTGACTCTTTCTCTAAAGCATTTTCACATTTAATTACTGTGCCACTGATACTGATTGATAAATATGGCTGTCTTCTGGGTTGTGCCATGTAATCTGGTAGAAGTGAACCAGACTACATGGCGTAACAATCCAGAAGACGGCCATTTCAAACTCACTGCTGTGAAAACTTCAAATCCTACATACTGATAGATGTCTGTAAGATAATAAGGTAGTGTTTATGTCGTGTAAAATTTTTCTTCAGCATGCTTGATAATTCAATTTTAATTTCTTGATTCAGACTTTACCCGTTTGTAATGGGTCTGTTCATTCCTGATCCTTGTAAACATAATAATGAATCTTTGGGTTTTATAAAAGGTAGGGAATTTGGCCAGCTGAGTGACTGTCAAGTAATCAAGAAGCCTACAATATGGAGATGGTTCATTTTGAAGGGAGTTATTTTTACAGTGATTACAACTGCTAGTAGAAACAGCCACACGTTCAGCAGAGTTAACAAATTACTGAGTATATGGAAAGTCTGTAAAATTTCAATTTGAGATAAACTACACCAGGTGTTGACTTAGATTTAAATATTTTTTGTCTTAAAATCACTTGAAACTCAATCTCTAGTTGTAAGTTATTTTTCCTTCATTCACATGCATCAAACCTGTCAGTACACTATAACCATGGGTGGAACTACAACACTGTCATTTCTGGCTTTTATGGAACAAAGTTTCCACTGTAGTGATTTTACTTCTAAATTAGTATAATATGTGCTATACATGTCATAGCTTTTCATATTCCAAAACTAGATAAGAAAGACAGTTCTAATGCCAGTGTGACCCTTGCATGAAAAGAGAGATTTCCACTTTGTGCACAGTTAGCCATGTGTTATCTTTTCAGAAGCTACTTAATAAATCTATGAAGTATTCCTTATTTTGCTTATAGTAAGGACTGGAGATCAGCAATTTACAGATGTCAAAAGACTTGCTTTCAACTCAGTGCATGCCATGTGTTCAGGATTATGTTTTCCATCAGTATTGAAGTGCTATACTGACCCTCATATACCCTCAGCCATAACTTTTCTGCAGTCATTCACTCAAATTTACGTTTTAAACATGACACTGACAATCACTTTTATTTCTTGTTCCTTTTTAAAATTAGTAGGAACAGACATAAGAAAATTCTGTCAGTATATTCAGTTAATTTACAAATAGTGTACACTTCTTTTTTGTTGCTATTGTATTGTATTTTTAAGACTGCCACATGTTTTGTTCCTGTCTTCAAGATTGTTGAACAGTAAACAATATTTTTGTACCTGTCTTTATGTATTAATAGATATTTATCTGTTAAGTTTTGTATAAAAAGAAATATTGTCAATGTTGTCAAATTCACTCCCATACTGATGTTTTTGTATAAAGAAATATAAATGTGTCTAGTTTATATACTTCATAGCACTTTTATTACTTATATTCCTATGTTATATTTTGTGTGCCTGTACTGGATTTTAGTTATACAAAACTGATACCATTTTGAAGGACTTGATTATCAATTAATGAGCAGCAGATTTTTTATTATATTCCCTTCAGACATGGTTGTGGAATATTCATCAGTAATTAAATACTATCAGTAACAGCAAATCTTCCCTCTTTAATCTCTTTTAATGTACTGCAAAGACTGGCAAATAACAGGGACTGCAGAAAAAGAAAATTTATTGACACTAAACTTTACTAAGTGTTATCAACTTCTGACTTCATATATGCATTCAAACATATCTGCCATACCTAGGAATACTGCTGGAAATAATTTTCTTAAAGTCCTTTTGTTACTATTACATTGCTTTCATTGCCTTGAAGTGATTCAGCAACTTTGTGACAAATGAGGTGAGCATGGTGGATATTCCAACTTTTATATGTTGGCCATTGAAATTACTGTGTGGGAAAGAGAAATGTTCTAATCTAGTCATATATTTCGTCTCTTTCAGTAAACATTTCAGATCTCTAAGATGGAATGTTTATGACTGTTTTGGAAAAACAAGTTCGTGATGGATAATTCACTCAATGGCTCAACAAGTGTTTGACTTGATTTTTTACATTCAGATGTTATGTTCTTGGATAAATATTGTCATTTTATTTTGCGATAATACGTAAAATTCCAAGTATTGTCATCAGATACTGTTTAGTAAATAACTTTTTCTGACAAAATTATTAAAAATGTGGGCACATTGCCCTTCTCTTTCTTGTACTATTAAAATACAGGGAACTTCCTCAGCGACCGAATTGTCCGACCCTTTTTACCATCAGTTTGACCTGATACTCACCCGTCGTCTGCCGAGAAAAAGGAGTCGCGGGACGCGGTTAATATGCCGCGCAATATAAAAGCACGCATTCTGTTGGCTGTATTTCACTTCGAAGACCCAGGCGAACACTTTTCTAACAAATTCGAAAATCGTTTATGAAACTGACTCTACGATACGTACGGCGAATCCTTTCACAAAACTATCTCATAGAAAAATCTGCCGTTCAAGCATATATTTCACCATCTTCACTTATTACAGCAGACTTCTGAATGACCTTACAACAGAATGCCTGATATTATTACGCCAACTGCACGTGCAGTGATGGCCGTAGATCACAGACTGCATAAAGCAGCCAGCACGTTTTAATCATTGGATTTGGTCGTTCAAAAAATTCCCTGTACAAACTGTAACCAAAAACAAAATTAATCCCAGTAAGTGATATAAAATGCTAAATCATTAACAACACACACCAACTCACCAGTGTTGCCAGTTGCTGCACAGAACATGAATCTGATGTCAGACCTAGTATACCTAAATCCATAATTGTAGTTCGAGGTCATTTGGAAAAGTGCCCCACTCCACCAATCATTACTCATAGTACTATGACAAAACTGTTGATAGTGTCATTCTACCTAAAACAACAAATTTTGAAAAAAAAACCCATCAAAAATAAAAAATTAGTGTCTGACGTATCACCAAATTCCATAACTTTATACACAAAATGGGTAGTCCCGTGTGGATTAGTATGTGTATTTTGAGAGTCCTGTTAATTGGCTTTGAAGATACATATTCCTGATAACAGTATGTTGCACAGAAACGGCCACTATGCAATTTTCCCCAGGTAGCGATGGCCATAATTCTAAAACCATTAGTTGCATCTACATATTTTTACCTTCACACTGTGGACCTATAATGGTAGTTTAAGGGCATTTGCCTAATTGCAATTGGAAGCCAGTTTCTATTTTAAGTCACAAGTTACCTAGCCAAAAACTAAAATTTACGATGTCACATATTTCAAAACTTGTAACAAAGACAAACTTGAAACTACACAATACCAAGTACAGGAGAACTCTCAGCAGTATTAATACTGAAGTTGTAGCTTCAGACATTCATCAGATAACTGTGGTGAAATAAGATGCAATTTCATCATATTTTGAAAAATGTCAATTTTCATACCTTGTTTACTCAGGTGTGACAGCCCACGCACATTTTTCATTTATACCAAAGAATGGCACATGGTAAATAATACATTCAAAATTCATCATTACACCACTCCTCTACTCCAAAAAACCCTATCTCTAAATACAATGTGTGAGCATGTCAGCCTCAGTTTGCAGGAAGCCAGAAATGTCCACACACAAGTAACAATTAATTAAGGGTAATGAAACTTAGTAGGATGATAAGTTGTGGCCTTGAACATCCAAACCAGGAACCAGCAACAATGCTGCAATACAAAAATCAGTGTTGTCAAGGCACAAAATTTCCAACCCTTCTTCCTACCT